GATAAATTAATTACAGCAAAGTGCGATCAAAGGACTAGAATTCTAAACATAACGCTTCCTTTGGTTGAAATACAATGATTGTTAAATTTTCGGTAGATATGCTTGGGCTTTTTAAGATATGTTATCATTTCCCTCTTCTTTGCTTGTATTTCTTTACTCTATGACGTATCTTTCTTTTGTATAATGTGCTTGTTTAGCTCAAGAGTAAAGGAAATGGGTGATGTTTTTATATTTACAAATGTATTTTAATTATTGAATTCCTTCAATCTTAATATAGACATTCATGAATGACATAACGGTACTTTAAAATTCTTGGTATTCCAGAATATAAAACAGACCACCCTTTGACTTCTCTAAACTTTTTTTTAGATATTAACAAACGCTGTGCAAGACATATTATAGGATGTCGTGTTATGTGACATTATCTTTTGTTGCCTTTCAAATTATTTTATCAAGTTTTTGCAGGAATAAAAAAAAATCTTGCAAAATCAAATTTACTAGACAATAATGATCGTGCTGTTTAGTGTGATCATTGACCAAGACATTTTGCGATTTTAGTGATAACCAATTTCGTGATACAGATTAAAAATCGAATGTTTCCCAGTATTTACAATAAAATCGTGAGAGAGTGCATTAAATCTCTGCATTAATCAATCACAATTCTCTGAATTAATTCCTAAAAATAAATATCGTTTGATTTCATCACCAGATTTTGTTTGCACTCGGAATGTCTTGGTGTTCAATGTTTAGCAATAGCAACGTCTTTCTATTTGATTAACTGATTATATTCGCCATATCGAGTCAACAATGTCATTTCTTATATTACACTTTTCAAATATTTGGGAGAAGTTCGTTAGACAAGGACCATCAACAACGTGTTGGTGAATAAATATGTAAAAAAGATTAAAATTTAACACTTGGTTTTCGTCCAGATTTACCGCTTAACTCTTGCCTAATTTATGAGATTCGAAAAAAGAAAAGAAATCCCGATCAAATTAAATTTCCCCCATCCACCCTCGCTGCACGATACAACTTCGATCAATCTACCAGCCCTAGAGTATCAATATAAAAATTATGTAAGAAATACATGTACGTGTAGATAATTTAAAAATGTCAGTTTCAAAAACTGATGTTTGTTTAAGTGCAAAAGTTCTAAGAGCAACATAAAATAAATTCATATTTTTAAACAATTTTATAGTTAAAAGCTTTAAAGTCTGCAACATAAAATGTCTGTTGAAATTAAAAATCAGTAGCTTTGATTTGCCGAAAACGTGCCATCAATACCAAGTTTCTGAGAATGAAAACGTTAATTAAATGCCCCAAGAGCAAGCTTCAGTTCCCTTATGCAAAGTTGCATTAACACAGCGTTAGAATCGATGAGATTCTAATAGATTTTGCATATTAATATTGTAATTTAATCTGTTGAAACCCGAGTTACTACATCAAAAACTTGCACGTTTTTTTTAACTTGCAAGGACTAGAAAGTTGGACAATACATGCTTCTCAAATTATATGAAATGCAACAGACACTGCATTTAATTTTCGCAAAATGATTTTAAGTACTTGTAATCTGTCAAATTAAATTTGAAATTTGTTAGTTTCGTTAAATCTATTAAAAATACCTTTGTTGGTATGCCTAGGTGTGTGATAAATAGGTAATGAAAGGCTTCAAATGTGTACGTTTGATGTCAGAATAAGGGAAATAAAGATCGTCCAAACAAAATTACGTAACCTAAAAGATATCAAGATATTCAGAACAAAAATCAAGTATTTTCGGCACTTAAAAACATATTCTCTTATCATTCATCGCCTGTAATCTTCCTTTATCAATTTCTAGAGCCATGGTTCAGCTCGGAGAAGAAAATCACAATATGATTTTGCTCTTATCAGAAATATGAAAGCTGTGTCAATATGTTTCATAATACATTTAATTCCCAGCTGTGGAGATCGTGTTTGACATCCATATGAACATGTTGCTACTTCGATAACAGACCCATTCCTATTTTAAAAACTCTCGTCTGCCTAATCAATCCCGAGTTTGGTAGGTTCCTTTGCGGGGGACATGTTTAGATGACGATTACCGCAAATCGTTCGGAAGTTAACGAGCGTTTTCATTCAAATTATTATCAGGAGAATGTGATAAATTCGTTGTCACCCTAGAAACAACAAACCTATTCAACCCGAAGGAAAAGTAGAAACAAGATAATTAGCGACTTCCCAATAGGTTATTTGGCTAATAAAAAGTTGAGATAACACAACTGTTTGGGGTGGCTTTTTACGCAACAGAATGTCAGAAATCGTGTTTTCATTTGGTTTTTGTAACAATAACGCTGTAATGAAGATATGCACTACGAAACCTGTGCAATTGTTGGAAACCGCTTTTGTTTCTGCAATGTCATTGATAATTGACACTCTGGGTGACGCAGCAGATCAAGCTATCTGGAGATCATGGTTTGAAGTAAATGTCTTAAAAATAATACTTTGTAATCAGTGCTCAACCATTATATTACTGCGCATGCAATTTAAAGCGGAAATTAGAGTAACTCTGTAATGTGTTCGGCCTCATACATTGTACAATCCCAAGATACTGAAACAAAAATTGACATCATTTGTCAATCTCTGGCATGGAAATGTTAAATATGCGTATTTGTGCTTCACGAAAAGTTTGCCGAAGATTCGTGGATACTTAATCAAAAAGAAAATTGTATTTTGCTGATAAAGTTCTATGATAAACTACCATATATATATTATATATATTACAATGTACATTTAATCAATAAAAGGGCACATGGTTCAATCGCGTTAAAAACAAATACCAGCAAAGCCCGACCATAAGTGTAAAGACATATCCCAAGAGTGAAAACCAGATATGAGTTGAGCATTACAAGACCATCAAAAACCGAGACAGGCTACTGACAGATAAGTTGACGTTACAGGGATTTCAACAACCTCGTTTAATGTCAGCAATTCGTAAATTCAATGTTTGTTATAATAACCTTGTTAACAAAAATAACCTGTCATTGGGTCGTATTTTGGCTGACGTGTTTCATTATACCAGTTTGTTTTTATACAAAATTTGAATTTTCCGTCAACCTGATCAATACACAGGGCTCACGGCAGGTGTGACCGGTCAACAGGAGATGCTTACTCCTCCTAAAGGCACTTGATCCCACCTCTGGAATTTCCGGGGGTCGATTTTTTTTTTTAGATCGATCACTGTTCGTTATCTTCACCGTTTTCATTAAATTTTATAAAGAAATGAATGGACATTACATCATATGAAATATTTTATGCTGAAATATTCAGAGATGATATAAAATTTCTTTGAAGATTCTAAACGTATAAATTTCCAATAAAAGTTTAATTCATGAGCATACAAAGAGTATTGACTGAGTAATAAATGCAAAGCAACTATAAAAAAAAAATCACAGAGATCATATTATGCATGATAAATCACTCAGAAACTGATCAGTTATACAAATAAACACAAGTTAAACATTCTATACTTTAAACCTCTTTTTTTTTTTTTAAATTTTATAGTTCAGACGGTACCTAAATATGTAATGATGTGTAAGTGATTGAATTTCATCTTCACCTCAACAGACAATCCCAAAAGTTAATTAAATACCATGCCATTAGCATACTCGGTGAAAATTTAATTTTATCCCGAGATATTTATTTTGCAGATTGCTCTGTGCACCAGCGTATGTATATCAACGATACAGAAAATTCTTTGGTATGTAAAACGCCAAAGTCTCTCCTTATGTCACAACACAAAAAGCCATTTTGCTTAATTTGGAAGAGGAAATAGTTTGAATAGAAGTTATTTAAAAGCCTTGTCAAATTGGATTCCTCGAAGTATATGTCAGTTCTAAATTAAATAATAGAGAAGGGGTATGTTTATCGTTTTAAACGGTCGGATCCGCGGTTAGAATCGGATAAATAAATGAATTATTTTATTTACATGTATTTATTTATTTATTTATTTATTTGGAGGGACAAACAACTGACTACAGTAGTCTATAACATTGGTAAATAATTTGTCGCTCATTGATTTTTATAGGAGGTTCTAAAATCTCTCGAAAGGATAAAAGGTTAAGAAATTTCACCGATGACGTTAATTAAAACGCAGGTTTTTATGAGTCACAAGACACTTAAAGTGTTGAAAATACCATTTATTCCTTCGACACTGGACAGCTTAATCGATAACTTCAAAGCGATCGATCTGATCAATATATTTCTCTCTGATTTGGGACCTTATGTTACAGATTAGTATGACGCCAGTCGGTCCCTATATAAAGTCTCCCTATCGCTAGCTGTCCCAGCAATCAGTACCGACCCAGTGCTAAGTACTTACCCCCAGAGGGCGCTGATTGAAACTTTACTAATGCATGAGGTCAGACCTTACCATCTGTCATAGTGACAAGCTTCTTACATTCACTCAAATTGTTTGCTCTCTTGTTTTGAAGATTATGAATTTACATATATGGCAAATTTTCTTGCATTGATCTTATCAAAAGTAAACTTTCAAGACAATTCTCCAATGGTCAAGAACCTTTTTTTCGATACTGACTGAAAATTTAATCACAGCAAATCCCATAGTTCTTATCGGAAAGAAAATATATATGTAACAACTCACACCTGGTGATTTAGAATCCTTATACTTTCTGACCAAAAAAAAAAAAAAAAAAAAAAATCAAACTCAAGTAAAATGAATTCTAAGACAAGGTAGACAGACTTCCTGATAGACAAGTTCTAAGAATTTCGGCAGTGGGTTTCATATTGACCAGGCAATGATAATGTTGAAGCTTAAATAACAATGACCATAAACGTTTACAAATATTTCAAATATATGGTAAAAAAAAAATTCAATTTAAAGCTGACATCCTTAAGAAAGCTAAAAATATAGATATTGTGTCTCAACAATCCTTCCTTAGGAAAAAAAACCCCAAACAAACAACAAACAAAACAAAACAAGACAAAAAAAAGCTCTTCCTTACCTCCTCTTTCTGAGCGGGTACATCTATAACCAACTGATCTATCTGCTCATTGTTGCTGGTCGGGTTCGCCTTTTGGTCCTCGTTGGTCCGTTTTGGACGCCGGACTTTTGCCGGACGGAGTACCATAGGCTTGGTATATGGGATCGTCTGATGCTGAGCTGTTCCCAGCATGGCGAAAATACCACCATTAAATAAAAAACCTCCAACAAAGCCCTTCTTATGCAGGTATCAGTGTGTCTTTCTCGGGTATAAACATCATAATTCCACCTTATTGATTTTTCATCTTCTCTCTATTTTGATTTAGAAATATTTTCTTCCTGGCTGTGTGTAAGCTGTGCAGAGGAATCTTCTATAAGCTCTCCTTGTCGTTCTCTGCTCTGGTATTGTGCGAAAATTCAATAACGTTATCCTACTTTTTTCACACCAAGGCAATAATAAATTCTTTTTCCTTTTGGAATACTTTCTCAGTGTATTTCTTATCTTATCCCCATAAAGAACCACGTGATCTTTCGTGTGTTTGCAATAGTGTACGATTAGTGGCGAGGTATACGAAGATCTCTAATACAAATAATGATTGCTTTGACTTCTTCTCCGGTTTACATTCAAATCCGAATCACTTCATGGTCGTCTTCTTGTCAATTGTGCCACGTCTATTTAAACATTTTACCTCACCATAAAAAAGATAAATTTAAAAGTTAAAAATATCAGTCTTTCACTTTTATTGAATATTAATGTTTTCTAAAGATAAAATTGAGGCATTTAAATATCATAGGCCCTTTTTCTAGCAGAGATTAGATGGTTTTATTGAGGAAAATAGAGCCATTGCGCCATGGTTACTTCGCTGGCTTAAATGTTCAGAAGTCTGGTTGTTTAATAGGAAATCGGCCAATATTGACACAAACATTTATCACAAAGTACTAAATCCAGTGATAGGGTAACTTTAATCAGAAGTCAATATTTTCTCCCTCATTTGTGACGGAACGAGAGTATATTTATTTAGCATTTTGTGTTATTTTTAGTAACAGAAAAAGCACTCACAAATTCTCTGTCATCTTAATGATCTTACTATTAAGAATTTATAGTTCAAATCAATAACTACTAATGATAAGGTTATTAATAGGAAATTTATTGAATATATATAGCTTGTAAATACGAATTTTGCGCTTCTATGTTTCTATGATAATTATTTGTATGTACATTAAGTATATAAATTTGGGTTTAAATACAACTTGGTCCTGCTCCATGACAGGAAGTTGGGGGACTTTATTCGTATAATTTCTTTGTAATTTTTTTTAAATCTAAGATTTTAATATTTGTATGCTCCATTACAAAACACTGCATTCTAATATCCAGTAACTTTACTGCGTTAGTTATTGACAGTCAAATTCGAATTTGGTTGTGTACAGAAATAAACAATGTACAAGATTTCTGGACTCCAGACACCAGAGAACGGTAAATGACAGGTTGGTCTTTCAACGTATGAAATGATAAAATCTAGCTTACACCAATAGATGGGGATAGATTTGCTGCTTTTACAAAAAGGTTCAGTCCTTCCAAGAACAAGACTTACTTTTCGAGTCAGCGGTAGTAATTGACCAACGAGTTCGCATTGCTCTGAGGTTTGAGGGTATTCAGTTAATGCAATCGGTGGAATCCGGATAAATAATATGTATGTTGCTATAGGTTTGGGTTTGTAAAAAAAAAAAAGCATTAATGGCTGTTTAAAAAGAAATGCTACAAACAAACATTTTTACATAAATCATGAAAATTACAACTAAAGACATTTTTATATAAGTAAAATGAATAAGTTTAGCCACATAATTTTTTAATTTTTCGTTCAAAGTATCGCAGTATAACGTCCAATAAAGTGATAAAAAAGTTACATGTATATAGATTTATAAGGGTGATGGTGAAAAAACATAATTTTGAATATCTTAGAAAGTCTACAATATTTCTTAATATATCTTAATATTTTAGAAATTCGATATGTGCATCGTTTCCAACGAAAGTAGGTTCCAAAAATATATACCATTTAAATACAATTTTTTTATTTTTTATTTTAGCAGCATTTGTTTTTAATGAGCTTAATTTTATTTTCCTGTTTTATGCTGGTCACACAACTTTGATCGTTTCTTCTTTTCAGACGTTACCAGTGAAAACATGCTGGACACGTGTACGTGCACGAAGGTGAATTATCGTATATAATACAGGTAGCTGTATGGTCATAATATTAATTAATTCATCTGAATATTAATTAATTCATCTGAGTTCATACTGAACTGAGACCTCGTATTGATATTGTCTCTTTATCACCTTCTTATTCTTAATTCGGGGTAATTTCGAAGAAAAGCGCATTAGCGATGGTTGATGTGTAGCATTCGTTCTAATTGTACAACCTTTGAGAATCCTTTACTAAGTATTTGAGCCCTTTGTACATGCGTGAAACTGATTTCCCGAGAAATCTTTTGATGTAGCATTATTTCTTGTCAGTTTAAATACAGAACTCATTTTCTGAGAATGGGTTTTTAAATGATTAATGATGTAATTATAAGATTTACAGGTTATATAATTACAAATGTTCATTAATTCTTTGGACATCGCAATAAGCAGGTGATTTTCTAGTCTCTTTGGGATTTTATTACCGTTTCTGTTTCCAGATCAACAAATGTTTCTTCTCTCTAAAATTTCAATACTTCCCTGTATTTATTTGGCATAAGTATAATCTAACATATCATAAAAATTATTATATCTATATGTTTATTAGATTTTCGAGTCTGGCCAATTTTATTTTTTGCTTGTCAAAAACACGCCCTTGAACTGCCCCCCCCCCCCCTTCTGAATTTTCTGGACCGCCACTGCAGATAAACAATAATGGAAAATAAAAAGATACAAGTTCAAGGATGAAAATAATCCCAAATTTATTGCCTACGATGGAGGCCATAAAAATTAGCATAAATGAAGGCATGACCTTCTGTCGCTAAATAGAAGGGCTAGTGACAATGAAAGCAAATCGGGTATTATACATGCAAATCTTCCGCAGATAGTTTTACATTGACAAAGTATGCGTTGTTGTCATAGCTTCGTAAAGAAAGTAAATAAATATTTTTCTAGACAAATATTTTGTCTAATGTGTTTGTAAGATGGTTTTCAGCCGTTCTTTTCTTAAAATCCGGGGGGAAAAAACATATTTTATTAATGATACATTTCTGATTATTTCCTGAATTACATCAAAACACTTGAATCGTGTAACTGTTTGAATTTAAAACTCTCGGCAAAAAGTGAATGAAATTTCACTAAAGGGAAGAACATTAAACACAATTTTCATAGCTGATCATGTTCGGTGAATGAATAATTCACATCGAATTTAGCTACGTGCACATGCATGTATACTAATGTATGGTAACAAGATACTTAAAAAATACACATTTGAGGAGCAGTAACTAATGACCTTCTTGCTTCTCTTGCACCCTTTGAAAAAAGTATGTACACTTATTACTTAAATTAATAGTATGGCCTGTTAATTACACCTTTTGCTTGACCCACTGTATTATATGTATACACGCTTTTAAATGCTTTGTACCTTGTATACCAATTACATGGTTTTGAGAGAATAAATTGAATTGAAATCGGGATTTCCAGCTTGAATGACAATTGGCTTGCATGTCGAACTCAAAGGTATTCCAGAGATTTTGTAAAATTTCATGATTTTGAAGATAATATTCGAACGCCTTGTGTATCAAACTTATTTTAAAGGAAGAGACAGATCATGCCAATTTGAGATTCTCACAATGTACGAGGTATGTGTTACTAGTATGTACAATCTCTAACGCGACTTACATGTACAATTGTATAAAATAGTATATGTGAATAAATTTTACGAAATTAACTAGATATCATTTTTCTGCTAACTTACGGAAGGAGGTTTTCTATATATATTCGACTGTGAAAAAAATGGAAGTCACGATTTATTTGTACTTAAGGTCTAGCTTTGAAATTTATTCTTGGTAAATATTAACCTTGTTGGTTTTTATATATTAAATGGGTATATCTATTGTTCGTTTAACAGTACTAAAAGTTGATATGATAAAAGTGTTGTAATAAATATCATTATGAGAACATCTGTTTCGTTTGCTTACTGCAATAAATAAATCCTTGTTTCCTCCTATATCTTTGCTTTTCTTTTCTTTTTTATGTTTCTAGAATAAGGTATTGTATACTATACAAATCTTGATTTTGAATGTGTCTTCTCTTTTACTGGACGTGGTATTCGAGTACAAAAAAGACACTGGGACATTTTACTATTTCCAACATTTGCTTTGTTACTTGAAATCCAAAGTTTGGATCTTTTATGAAAAACCCATACAAATCTTTCAATTAGTTGAAAAGAGCCACCTTCACGAATCTCACGATTCAGGGCCATGGTACACGTGGACGAGTAGGGGGTTACATTTTTTGAAAATAATTTACTCACACATTATCAAATTAGATGTGGATGAAAATTGTTGTTTAGAGCAGAATTTCTCGTTTTCGCACTTGTATAACCCAAACTTTAAACTGCGATTTAGCGATATTCATACAATGGAATTTCACGAAAATTTCAGTTACATTAATTTCTTAATTTTTGTCAAATTATTTTTTTCATTTGAATGAAAACTATATATTGGACACTTTACACATATGGAAATGGATGATGTCTTTTTTGAAAAAGGAAATATCATGCCGAGTAGTTCTGGCCATAAATAAAGAAAAAAGTTCACAAGTATTTATACAGATCAAATTCCTTCACGACTTGTGCTAAAACCCAGATGTACAATTGTTTTTCTTTTTTTCGAGGTGAAACGTGATTCCCCAGTATTATACCATTTAGTGGTCATTTCAATCACTGGTTACTTGGAGAAATTAACGATTCAGTTTACATAATCGTAAAAATACACATTGCTTTGCAAAGTACCTCCAGTTTTATTCTAAAATTTGATGGAAATCTTGCCTAAAACAAACTCAGTATCGTTACGAGTGGAGAGGTTATAAATATCTTGTTAAGGATTACGAGATGAAAGTAAATATTCCATATAAATCATTAATGACATTGGAACTCTCAAATGATATTGCATTTGAAGAAAGATTTTCATTAGTGTAGGTTTTATTTTCCAATAGGGAGCAATAAAAAGAACATTTTTAAAACAAAATCTTTGATTAAAAGCACTGGCCTGGGGATGTTAACATGAATTTATTTTGACACTACTTATATTACTAATCCTATCACTTGTAAACTATCAGATGTCTGTCACAAGAACTCACATAAACTTGCTTTGAATCATTTAAACGACATATTTCTATCTTTTTATACATGTATAAATAATGTAATAATTTGTTAAACAAATACCCCCCCCCTTTTGTGAAAACGACATTCCCTGCCCCCCCCCCCCAACAGTGTGTAAAAGTCTAAAAAAAAAAAAAAAAAAAAAAAAAGATCCAAAAGGTTATCCTCAATATTTTTGGGATGAATATTGATATATTAAAAGAATCTCGGGTGATTGTCTAAAATAATCAACTGTGGAAACTCTTCGTCCTTTAAATAATTTTGAAAAGACACCGATAAAAACTCGACAATAAGAAACCTTGGTAAATTATTCCGTTCCTGACAAGAAGTCAGATACAACCAGAGAATCTTCTTTTAAACTTTAATGTGGGAAAGTGTCAATCACAGAACTACTTTCCCTATGGTGGTAACGTACATTCAGTATACACGCAATGTTCCAATTACTTCTGATCTTAACCAGGGTCGAGGAAAGTCAAAAATACAACCTCTGCGTGCAAGAAGAAAACAAGGTCCAATTGAAACAGAGAACGGCAATCATACTTCTTTCAAGTAACGATACCAGGGTTTACATTTAATACCAATAAAGCTTTTCAAGATTTTACACTGGATTATTTGTGATTCTAAAGTAATATTGCCGTGTCTTAATATTACATAACATTCATTACCTTACGCGGGTGGTTTGTAACCTGTGGGGGCATGGACTTGGGTACAGTTACTTGCTACAAAAATAAATGAGAATTTTTCTTCATAGCTCACACTTGTTGAAAGTCTGGATTTCGCAAAATTCACAGCACTTTGTCAGAATATGGAAAAAAAATAAAAATAAAATAATGTCTAATCTGCTTTTTTGCTCTTTTATTGAAGCTCAGTGAAGTGTCATCTGAAAGCTATTTACAAGACAAAATACCATCAAGTACTCTAAGGGGAATAACCCATACATTCTACTCATCAAGGTCATATAAAAGTTCTTTTTTTTTTTACGCCCGTAAACAGGTGTCAGAAATACTCATCTACATAAAATATTGTGCTCTACTGTGAAATTTTCGAATAAAATTTGTGCCTTCTTACATCTGCAGAAAGTAATACATAATGAATCCATGAAAATTTAAGACTCAGAGAGAAAAAGACTCAATATTATAACACTTAGTCTAAATGGACAAGAAATACAAAGCACAGGAAAAATACAAAATACAGAACAAAATTTTTACAAACATCAACAACAACTGTGACTAGCTATGACAATAAGTATTACATGTACCGGTATTAATGTAGCAATAGAGGTAAGCTACATTATTTATATGTTCCACTAATTATGGAGATCAAGAATTCTTTTTCTTTCAAGTATAAATATTAAATGTCAGAAACCCATCTCTTATATAAAAAAGAGTACAGTCAAACCTCGTTATCTTGAACTCAATGGAACCAAAGAAAAACTTAAATAAGCGGTTAGGACTTCCAAATCACTTCAACATATTCATGGTATCTGAGATTGTTGTTCAAGATACCAAAGTTCAGCTGTATTTGTAATCTTAAAAATAAAAGTAATGAAATGTTTGTCCATTTCAATTTCATTCATTTTAAATTCCTCAAACATTCCTGTTCTTGCAAGAAAATTCCTAGATGTATGAACACACAACAATGCTGTAAATATGTGTAAAACTAGAAAACTAATGAAACGCTAAGGAGTCTATGTCATGATTTGTTTGAAAAGTAATGAAACGTGAAGTGAATATGACTAGAACGTAAATAAACTATTTATCTGCCATTTATATGGTTACAAACTTTATACATGTACATAGTGTAAATTAGTTGTCTAGTTTTAAAAAGATAAGTGTATACATTACAAAAAAAAAATGTTGAATAAATAAAAATTTGGATTTACTATTTCAAAATATTACGTGTAATAGCAATACTGTACATGGATTTGGGATAAATCAGCAAATTAATTATAAGTCTGAACCTTGAAGCAATTGTACATATACATATATTCCGAGACTTTTAAAACATTTAACTTGCTTAGTTTACACCCCCTCCCCCCAAAAAAAAAAAAACAAACAACAAAGCAACACATTATACAATAAAAGAGACATATATGAAAATATAATTTTACCTGTATATGCCCTTGTTATAAAGGCAAGTCCATTTTTTATTTGCAGATAATATTTAACGCCCTGTAAATAAGCAAAAAAGGCTATTTCTTAAATGTAAAAGCTTGACAATAAATCATTTAAATATACATCAATTCTGTATCACAAAATCTTTATCACAGTAATAAGCAAAAACAAGCCATCACTATTGCACCATCATTGACTAATTCTACCTACATTACCACAACCAAAGAAAATCCAGATCTGCCAGAGATCAACTAACTACCACAAAAAAATTCTATTTTGAGACAAAATTAATTGACAAAAAAAAAAAAAAAAACCTAAAGAGGGGAAAAAGACAAATAATACAAAAGTATACATTTAAAATACTGTAATGAAAAATATTAATAAAAATGTGGAAAAAAAATCTTCAAAGTGTAAAATTATTTGGAACACATTTGTGGCTGAACAAAAGAATCAAGCCATTTACTTGACTTGTTTCAAAACTCGAGATTTCTCATTCTTAAATCTCTTGTACTCCCGGGAAGCAAACCTTTTCTCTGCAGTGGTAACTATATTTTCTTTACAAGGTATGTTCTCTTTGTCATCAGATGCCAGTGGTTTCCTCCTACCAAACATCCCAAACTTTTCCTTCTTTCCTTTGTGCGCCTCAGCCTCTGGCGTATTCCTAGGTTTCAGTACCGCCCTTGAAATCTTGGTGAAGAAATTACTGACAGATGATTTTCTCTCTGGTTTTGGTTTGCACTCCATGTTCCCAACATGCAACTTTTCTGTTGGCATCTTGAGAACTGGACCTTCTTGGACACAACAGATATTTTCTGCGTAATCATACTTTTGCTGCTCCTCATAATACTTCAGATCTTCTAGGTCCACAGATTTTCCATTATTTTCCAGGTTTAGGGACGTTATGTTGCACATGCTCTCTGGCTCAGCAAGTGGAGCGGCTCCTTCCTCATGCATGGACTCTTGGTGCAACAGCTCCTCATACTTCATCCACTTCTCCGTGATCAGAATGGAGTCTGTTAGGTCGCTACGACTACGGCTGTGACTCCGCCTCTTCCCTGTGACCTTCAGTTCCTCCACTCGCTTTGCAATAAGGGGTAGGTCTCCCATTATTTCTGGGGAAGCTTCTTTTGTTGTGATCAGCTCTTGCTCAAACTTTGGCTCATCTGACAGTATGTCAGCTGCTGTAAATAATTTTTTTAAAAATCTATATATTACATGTGCACAACTCTGTATTAATATGCAAACTAATTGTACAATGAATTTTACGAACAAAATTCTTTTCCTAAAAATAATTCACATGTATGTTCAATTATCCATCTACAGTGAAACTTGTCTAATCCGGATGTTGTGTATTACAAAACCTTGTCAAATATGATGTAAACATAAAGTTCATTCCAGTAATTTCAATTGTTTAAAATGTTGCCTAATCTGGAATGTTGTCTAATCCAACTAATTTCTTTGAGACCAGTGGTGGCCGGATTAGACAAGTTTTACTGTAATATATATTGTGTTCAATACATAAAACGTCTGATCTAATCAATATACATGTACTAAGTATCATAAATACCACCAGACCTGAATTTTTTTAAATACATAAATGTAGCAAAAATGAATAAACTGTGACATACCAGAACTGGTCCTGATATTGACATGTTTAAGTGTTGGGGTCAAGAAATCCTCGTCCATGACCTCTGACACTGGTCGTCTGCTGACGGGACTGCCAATGAAGCTGATTTCACTGAACTCCAGAGCTTCGATATCGATGTCAGGGGACACAACCTCTGACTTCACCACAGGATGGAAGTTTCCGTGGTGAAGGTCATCCAAAATCTTTTCTAACACTTTGTGTTTGTCTTCTAGAATAGAGGAACTGGCCCCTGTAAATCACATGAAGAAAACATATTTTTCCCAAGAATGAAAATTTCATTTGAGGTTCTGGCATAATTAACAAGAGGCCCATGGGCCACATCGCTCACCTGAGGCAAAAGCACAAATCAGTTCAGTATTGAAAAGATTACCCGGGGGGGGGGGGGGGGCGGCTTGAATTTTAAACTACCTGATGATGCCTCCATGTCAATATAACAAATGGCTTTGTTGTACTTGAGAAGATTTTAAAAAAATTCTCCCATATATTCCTTTGTAAAAATTTGATCCCCCATTGTGGTTCCTCCCTATCCCAGGGGTCATCATTTGAACTTGAATCTACACTACCTGAGGATGCTTCCATATCAATATGACTAAACATAGCTTTCCTGTTCTTGAGAAGAAATATTTTTTCTGTATGTTCTTATGTAAAACTTTCGATCCCCCAATGGGCCCCACCCAACCCCTGGAGGTCATCATTTGAAAATTTTTTTTATCTACACTACCTGAGGATGCTTCCATATCAAAATGACTAATCATGGTTTGCAGTTCTTCTTCAGAAGATATTTTCCTATATATTTCTATTTAAGACTTTGATCCTCCATTGTGGCCCCATCCTACCCACGGGGGTCATGATTTGAACAAAATAGAATCTACACTACCTGAGGATGCTTCCACATAAATATGATCAATCAGGGCTTTGCTGTTCCTGAGAAGAAGATTTTTAAATTTTTCCTATACATTTCTATGTAAAACTTTGATCCTCCATTGTGGCCCCATCCTACCTCTGGGAGTCATGATCTGAATAAATTTGAATCTACCCTACCTGAGGATGCTTCCATATAAATATGAACAATCTGGGCTTTGCTGTTCCTGAGAAGAAGATTTTTCCTATATATTTCTATGTAAAACTTTGATTCTCCATTGTGGCTCCGCCCTACCCCCGGGGGTCATGGTTTGAACAAACTTGAATCTACACTACCTGAGGATGCTTCCATATAAATATGACTCATCATGGCTTTGCTGTGCTTGAGAAGAAGATTTTTAAAGATTTTTCCTATATATTTCTATGTAAAACTTTGATCCTCCATTGTGGCCACACCCTACCCCCGGGGGTCATGGTTTGAACAAAGTAGAATCTACACTACCTGAGGATGCTTCCATATAAATATGACTCATCGTGGCTTTGCTGTTCTTGAGAAGAAGATTTTTAAAGATTTTCCTATATATTTCTATGTAAAACTTTGATCCTCCATTGTGGCCCCACCCTACCCCCGGGGGTCATGATTTGAAGAAACTTGAATCTACACTACCTAAGGATGCTTCCATATAAATATGACTCATCATGACTTTGTTGTTCCTGAGAAGAAGATTTTTAAAGATTTTTCCTATATATTTCTATGTAAAAATTTGATCCTCCATTGTGGCCCCGCCCTACCCCTGGGGGTCATGATTTGAAGAAACTTGAATCTACACTACCTGAGAATGCTTCCATATAAATATGACTCATCATGACTTTGTTGTTCCTGAGAAGAAGATTTTTAAAGATTTTTCCTATATATTTCTATGTAAAACTTTGATCCTCCATTGTGGCCACACCCTACCCCCGGGGGTCATGGTTTGAACAAAATAGAATCTACACTACCTGAGGATGCTTCCATATAAATATGACTCATCGTGGCTTTGCTGTTCTTGAGAAGAAGATTTTTAAAGATTTTTCCTATATATTTCTTTGTAAAACTTTGATCCTCCATTGTGGCCCCACCCTACCCCTGGGGGTCATGATTTGAAGAAACTTGAATCTACACTACCTAAGGATGCTTTCATATAAATATGACTCATCATGACTTTGTTGTTCCTGAGAAGAAGATTTTTAAAGATTTTTCCTATATATTTCTACGTAAAACTTTGATCCTCCATTGTGGCCCCGCCCTACCCCCGGGGGTCATGGTTTTAATAAACTTGAATCTACACTACCTGAGGATGCTTCCACATAAATATGACTCATCACAACTTTGTTGTTCCTGAGAAGAAGATTTTTAAAGATTTTTCCTATATATTACTACGTAAAACTTTGATCCTCCATTGTGGCCCCGCCCTACCCCCGGGGGTCATGGTTTTAATAAACTTGAATCTACACTACCTGAGGATGCTTCCATATAAATATGACTCATCGTGGCTTTGCTGTTCTTGAGAAGAAGATTTTTAAAGATTTTTCCTATATATTTCTTTGTAAAACTTTGATCCTCCATTGTGGCCCCACCCTACCCCTGGGGGTCATGATTTGAAGAAACTTGAATCTACACTACCTAAGGATGCTTTCATATAAATATGACTCATCATGACTTTGTTGTTCCTGAGAAGAAGATTTTTAAAGATTTTTCCTATATATTTCTACGTAAAACTTTGATCCTCCATTGTGGCCCCGCCCTACCCCCGGGGGTCATGGTTTGAACAAAGTAGAATCTACACTACCTGAGGATGCTTCCACATAAATATGACTCATCACAACTTTGTTGTTCCTGAGAAGAAGATTTTTAAAGATTTTTCCTATATATTACTACGTAAAACTTTGATCCTCCATTGTGGCCCCGCCCTACCCCCGGGGGTCATGGTTTTAATAAACTTGAATCTACACTACCTGAGGATGCTTCCATATAAATATGACTCATCATGACTTTGCTGTTCTTGAGAAGATTTTTAAAAGATTTTTCTTATATATTTCTATGTAAAACTTTGATCCTCCATTGTGGCCACGCCCTACCCCCGGGTGTCATGGTTTGAACAAACTTGAATCTACGCTACCCGAGGATGCTTCCATATAAATATGACTCATCATGGCTTTGCTGTTCTTGAGAAGAAGATTTTTAAAGGTTTTTCCTATATATATCTATGTAAAACTTTGATCCTCCATTGTGGCCCCACCCTACCCCCGGGGGTCATGGTTTGAACAAACTTGAATCTACACTACCTGAGGATGCTTCCATATGAATATGACTCATCATGACTCTGCTGTTCTTAAAAAGATTTTTAAAAGATTTTTCTTATATATTTCTATGTAAAACTTTGATCCTCCATTGTGGCCACGCCCTACCCCCGGGTGTCATGGTTTGAACAAACTTGAATCTACGCTACCCGAGGATGCTTCCATATAAATATGACTCATCATGGCTTTGCTGTTCTTGAGAAGAAGATTTTTAAAGGTTTTTCCCATATATTTCTATGTAAAACTTTGATCCTCCATTGTGGCCCCACCCTAACCCCGGGGGTCATGATTTGAACAAACTTGAATGTACACTACCTGAAGATGCTTCCACATGAGTTTCATCTTTCCTGGCCCTATGGTTCTTGAGAAGAAGATTTTTAAATGATGCATTTATTTTTTCACTAATTCTTAATCATCTCCCCTTGAAAGAAGGCGTGGCCCTTCATTTGAACAAACTTGAATCCCCTTCACCCAAGGATACTTTGTGGCAAGTTTGGTTGAAATTGGCCCAGTGGTTCTTGAGAAGAAGATGAAAATGTGAAAAGTTTACAACAACAACGACAACGCCGACAGACAACGGACAAATTTTGATCAGAAAAGCTCACTTGAGCCTTTGGCTCAGGTGAGCTAAAAACTCTCCCTGCACTGGTGAAGGTTTATAACACAAGTCAAAATTTGGTTTCCTCTACAGCTAATGACATATCACTATGAGTGAAAAATATTTGCTGGGATATTTAATTCTAATAATCAGTCAATTCTCTCAACTTTTCAACACCAAAAGGGCTACCCAACAGAATAAAATCCCTTCTAATGAAAAGATATTAACTAAGATGGTTTTTACAGCTATCAGAATTTTCTACAAATCATCCATCAGTTTATGTAGATCTTTTGTAAGTAACACATATGGAGATTCATTATTCAGGAAACAAATATTGTTAAGTACTAAATATACTGTATATGTATATTTAAGATGTGTATGTTTTATACCTGCATCTCTTCCAAACTCCAAAGCCATAAATCTGTTCTTTACATGGAATTTAATCTGGTCATTTTTTTTCTTAGCAAGTTGACTTTGTTTGTTAAAAGTGGCATTATCCTGTCAAAAGAAGTACACATATAGTATGCAACTTAAATCCACGATTTCAGATGAAAAGTAAAATAAGACATAGTCTTTATATGACAATGTCTAGCATACTATAGAAGAGATCTATTTACTTACATTTTGGCATCGCTTAACTTGTTTACAGAAGCGATGCAAGCACTGAAGTGTGGCTTCTAGGTCAAAACTCTGTTGGTCTTCACAGAAAAAGTTTGCCATTTTCAGGGTCAAGGTTTTCAGCTGATTTGTAGCACTTTGTATGGTTAAAAGCTCTAGCTTCACCTCCTACAAAAATCCGTCAAACCTCAGTATATGGAACTCAAGAGAACTAGCAAAATTCCAGTAGATACAATGTGTTTGAATGTTCAAATCTTAATGTCAAAATTGAAAGTCAAATAATAAACATGAGTGTAGATTCAATGAACCATACCCATTTAGTATGTAATTAATTGTGATAGCCAAGTTCAACTTTACATGTATGTACCCAAATACTTTCTGTAGTGTGAAAATACATGTTGTATTAAATAAATATAACATTGATGACATGCATGTTAAAAAAATGAATGCACTCCAAAGTCAAGCTTTTTGGATGCAATTCTGAAACTTTGAGTTTAATATGCCTACCTCAATAAACATGTGGAACCTTTGTCTCAACTTGATGTTAGCTGTGACCAGGTGGTTCATAAATTTACTCAGCTGTTTATTAAACTTGTTTATCTCATCCTTAATCTCTACCAAAGTTGACCTACAGTATAAGGCAAGAATTTTAAATTTGTACTATTTCACAGATTTTAAAATGCTAACTGTATTAGTAATTGCATTGTACTTTAGCAGAAGTCTTCCTTATATAAATGTCTTTCTTATCACATACAACACAAAATTTCATCCAATCTTACAGTGTGATCTTGTCCAGTTGCCCCATCTCTGGGATGAATTTGAGCATGGAATCATCTTTGTCATGGATGGCCTTAACCAGGTGATGTAATAGGGACTGATTGGGAACCCCCGACTTCACCTCCATCAGTCGCTCAAAACTGGACAGCTTAATACCAGCAGCATCTCCTTGTAAGCATCCCTGTCATATACATGTATAAATACATGTATGCACTTTGTACATTTAGTGAGGTAATTTCAAATACTACCATGATAGACATGTACACATGTAAACATTACAAAAATACTTCATTCTTTACCCATATATACTTTATAAAATATGTATATTTCACTGTACTTTAAAGATTTAATATCACCTGCTGACTTCATATATCTAAAGTACAATTTAAATCAACTCACATAGTTCAGAAAATTCCCAGCACACAACAAGAAGTGTAGAAAGTGCTTGAACTGTTGGTTTTCCAGCACCACTTTACATAGGGCATTGAGAGAGCTCAGTGAGTCCTCGAGTTTCTCCAGACTTGTGGTGGACTCGGCTTTGGTCAGGTGACCCTCTATGAGGACCTGGTAGTCTGGGATATCGGCCAGTAACAACACAAACTGCTCCGGCATTCCCAGCTGTAGTCTCCTTCCTTCATATTTCTGTAGCATTGCTATCTGTATGACCGTTTATAAATTTAAAGTAGAATAAAATTTCTATATCAAACAAATTTCAATGTAAAAGAATGTACCCTATATCAAATTGTTCTTTTAAAAATAAGAACCCTTCCTTAATACACAAACCCCTATTTATTTGTTGCTCTTTCCCAATTTTAAAACAACAGGCTTGTAGGCAACAATGCTCATCTGACATATTCCTAATATGAAAAACAGTTTGTAGAGAAATGTTCTCATTAACAAGTCCCAGAACTATACATGTATGTACAGTAAATCTTATTAAGTTAAAGGCCTTGCTTTTAATATATACATGCATGAATATAATTGTGCTTCAATTTAGGTTGTCAATACACCAGTTGATTCACTTTACACGCTCCAGTCAAAAATATCTGTGAGTTTACCAAATAAAGTGTATCTCAGATCATACCTCATCGGTATGAGGCAGCACCTTCATCAGATATTGTAGTGTAGGCACACTGATCACTTCTGGGTTCCCTTTCTCCAGACTCTCTATCAGTTTTTCGGGACCAATCTCCATTCGACTCAGAAACAAGTTAATGTTCTGTCTGGTTGTTGTATTCAAAAGCACTATCTATACAGGGAAAGTAAAATTAAATTAGCATTTGAAGATTGTACTTTATGAAACAGATTTGAAACTTCTTAAGCTGATTTTTTTTTTTATATACGTGTACGATCATGTGCATATATGTAGCAATTGTAATACATTTGAATCATATGAAGCCATTGAGAATTTTAAAGCTCTGATTCCTTGTCGTTTTGCAATATAATGATCTCATGCATTGATAATCAACATAGAGCCACGCATATAACAAACACAGTTTCTTACTTCATTGACCTCCTCATACTGTTGATCTCCCTGTTGGAACATAGTCTCCAGTTGTCCAAAGTCTGGTGTAATTCCATTGATATCAGCTGACACAACCCACAAACAGTCTTTGTACTTGTCTGGATTGTAGTGAGGAAACAATTGGACAATTTTAGGAAAAAGATGCATCTTTTAAATGAAATGTATACATAGATCTCTCTTTTTTGTCAAAATACTAATACTGATAATATCAATATACATGTACATGTTATATATTTTTTTATCCCATGTTTACCCCTTTATCCTGTGGATATGACTCATTGGATAATTTTTTCATAATCCACAGTTGTGACGTCACAATGGTTTTTGCGTTAGCGCGATGAAGTAAAATAAAGTGGAGTCCTATATAAAACAGTGTAAAACATTGGTTGTGAAGTATTAAACATGGGATAAAAAGAATCTCCCATGATTTGTAGTTGGATATGACTTTTATCCAACTCATTGTGTGTTTTTATCCCCTCGCAAAGGCTCGGGGATAAAAAACACACAACTCGTTGGATAAAAATCATATCCAACTACAAATCATGGGAGATCCTATATTTAACCTAGCCATCTCATATCGTCATAGATAGAAATTTAAATCTGTACCTATGACCTCGTCTGAAATTTTGACCCAAGGGACATTCTTCATTTTCTTGGTGGGTGGTGGGAGGGGTGGTCTTTTGATCCTGTATCTCCTCTGTAGGGCAGACTTATTTGTTGGGGTATTTGTCATATTAGCACCATCGTCAGTGAACGACACATTATCATACTGAGTCTGGTCCATGTAAGCTATCATGTCGACCACATTGTTGAACTTGTTGTACCTAGGATCTCGATTATGGGTCAGTTCTACACCAGTGTCATTCTCATATTTACAGGGGTCCAGGTTTCTCTGGGAGATCTGTCGTATATTGACCCTACTCATCTGAGCACCTCCCATGAGAGGGTCTGGATTTAGAGAATGTGGTCTTGATTGGTAGGACTGAATGTACTGTAATCCTTTGTTAATGTGGTCAGGGAGACTGGCCAGTTCCATGGCTGGAGTTTCTATAGACCCTGGCAGTTGGCTTTGCTCGCAAGCATGGACTGACTGATGTACCAAGTTATCAATCTGTTTCCAAAGCTTAGCACTGAAAAGTTAAATCAATTCTTCAATCTTTATCATTTCCATTTTATCTTTATTGTTTATAATAAAATATAAATGGTTTCAATTAAAAAAAAAAGCTTCAGGGCATAATATTTGGACTGATGTCCACTGGCTTCATGCTTTTGTTAAGCTGTTGAATTTAGTTTTTGGTGATTTATTCAAGGGATGCTCTTCAAATTTTACATGTTGAAAATCAGGGTATTTTAGATAATCATTGGCATTGACCTTTGACCTTAACATATGTAGTTAAAGCTTATGAAAATCATCTAGCCAAATATTATATAAGTAAGCCAAAGTCTTATATCAAATACACATAACAATGGATTTTACTCAACTTGCATTTAGTATGAGCAGTTTGCCACAGTTCTCATTAATACATTTATTCATCAAGGTGAGCTCTGTAAACTAGCTTTACTTACCTGTATTTTCCACTGTTACTACTTTAAATTTTTATTAATCCATACAGCCAGTAGCAGTTTTTTTTTTTCAAAATTAAGTTTGGGTAAATCTTTATTCTACAAGTTAAACCAGTTCATAACATGCATAAATGTACTACATGTACCTGTTTTTACTGTAAATGTGTTCAATGGCCAACAAATCTTGCAAAATATTCAGGAAAGATACCATTTTAGGAGTTCCAAATATCTATCAGAAAGTAGAAAAACAAGATTTTTTAACTTTCATTTCCACAAAGAGGCTTATCATTTTAGAAGTGAACATAAAGCTCAGCATGACTTTTAACTGGAAAAGTTACATGTAACAATCAAATCATTGTGTGGAGTAATGATAAATCAATGTATAGGAATGTTACCTTGCACTGTATGAGTTCTACCAGATCCTCTGGACTGTTGAAATCCACTTCATTTTGATCATTTAACACTTCCTCATCTTCGTGCTTCTTCTCATGGAAGATCTGAAAATTTGGCATAAAAAGTTTGTATAGCCTACATTATTTTATACCTCAAACTTACTCTAATGCTTTTATGAAAACATGGACATTTCCTTTATCATTCTCGTAAAAATTCTTACCTGTAACTGAAGATGAAGGTCATTGTCTACTTCCTCTTTGCGCAGAAAATTCAACACGTCCAACAAGTTTAGTCCTAAAAAAACAACAACATATCAATACATTCTCATAAAGAACAGCTTAAGTCCTGTGCATAAAAACAACAACAAAAAGATGTGATCTCTGAATTCTCTACAACAAAAAGATGTGTCTCTGAATTCTCTTACCAATAAACTCGTTTCTGATCCTGTTTCTCTCCTGACGATCTGATGTACAGTTGATGATACAATTGATAAATGTCAGAATGGCTGTCTTATGAGGGACAGTCTCTGCTGCCTTCAGTTCATTGACAACAGCACTGAATCTGTAGGTCTGGTCTGTCTCTTTCTATAAGACACAAGTAAATTTGTAAAAGAGTAATGGATATATGTAACAACAAGAGATGTTTGTGAATCACTTAACTCCCCCCCCCCCCCCCCCCCCCCACCAAATAATTGGAATTTTTCCAAGTCCAAGGGGCATAACTCTGTCAAAAATTGCTCAATCATACCCAAAACAGAACTTGACCTAGATATTTATGATAAATCTGTATACCAAATTTCATTTCAGTATGTGCAACCTCTGCAAAGAAAATGAATGGAACTGCAAATAATTTGAATTTTTCAAAGTCCAAGGGGCATAACTCTGTCAAAAATTGTTCGATCGTACCCAAAACAGAACTTAATCTTTATATTCTTATGATAAATCTGTATACCAAATTTCATTTCAGTATTTGCAACCTCTGCGAAGAAAATGAACGGAAACTATTAGTGGACCAACAGACAGACCGACCGACTGACAGACAGCAGCAAAGCATTTGCCCTCCCTTCTTCAAAGGGGGCATAAAAATGTCATAGACATAATAGTAGTGCAAATTCAATAACTACACTGAATTGCAGAATCATTGAATCAAATGTAACCAAATAACATGTAACCACTTATTCATGTGTACATGTAACTACTGAATCACATGTAATAACTGATTCACACATACATGTAACCACAGATATCCTGTATTCAATGAAATACATGTAACCACTGAATCACATGCAACCATTGATTTACACATACATATAACCACTCAATTGCATGTAACAACTGATTCACATGTACATATAATCACTGAATCACATGCAACCACTGATTCACATGTACATGTAACCACTGAATCATATATATTCAATGAATCACCTGTAACCACTGATTCACAAGTAACCACTGATTCACATGTAACCACTGATTCACATGTTACAACTGATTCACATGTACATGTAACCACTGAATCACATGTAACCACTGATTCACATGTACATGTGACCACTGAATCACATGTAACAACTGATTCACATGTACATGTAACCACTGAATCACATGTAACCACTGATTCACATGTAAACATGATCTATGCTGTACTTACTTTCAGTGTTTCCAGAGCATTCATGACACTCCTGTATCCCATTTTATTATATGAACACAACGCAGACAGAATCTCATACACTTGCTTCTTTGGATGGGTATTGTTCATGTTCAGAGCTGCTTAAAACCAGAAAAACAACTTACATTTACATGTATATTATTTTCTGTTTCATGTACACACTATGTTTAACTTTTGATTCTGAAAAGTAGTCAAACTCTGATTCTGTAGTCAATCTCCACAAATTATTTATTTTTTTACTTAAATGTCCTTGTTTCGATTTCTTTGTTATAAATTCTAATTTGACAACATATTATACACAAAATGATAAAAGAGATATAAAATACTAATAGAAAACAAACCCAGGATAAGTTTGGCAGTATAATATTCATGCCTGACCATGAAATCCAAGCCCACATTGGTATTGAGAATGGCCCTGATACAGGACACACAATCCAGCTGAAGAATAGCATCTGAGAAACTGGTGAAGCCCCTCCCCGTCATTTCACACAAGGAATTCAGCATAATGTCCAGGCCATCTCGCTCTAGGTATTCACGTAGCCATGCCTCAGTGGTATTCTCCAATCTTAGTCTCAATGCATAAAACATCTATGAAAAAAAAAAATTCTGTTCATTGAAACAATTTTAACTACTCTAAATTATATTCTAAAAAACTTATATTCTGAATGTGGCATTTATTCAGTGATTTTCATTGAAAATAAGTTCTGACATAATACATTCCACATAAGAGTAAAAACAACTTACAACTTAATTTTAAATCTAGAAATTGAAGTTCAAACATCAACAACCAAGCTGAAGAAAAAAAGATCACTGGGTATATTTAGTACAGACCTGTTTACCCATACCGTTGTCTCTCAGTATTATTTATTAGATTTGTCAGTGAGATTTGGCATTTGCCAGTAAGATTTCACTTTCCATCGATTTTACATATATTACTAAGAGATCAACTACATTTCTGATTACCAAAACATGGGTTAACAACAAAGAAAAGCATCATACCTTGCTTTCTTTTGTTTTTTTTGGTCATTTTTTAAACCACCCGACATCACTGAAGTGTTTGAAATCTTCCTCATTTTTGATTAAAAAGCGTCAAACTGAGACAGATCATTACGAAAACTGTTAAAATCCAAACGCACGGATTTCTTATTTCCGTATTTTTATCAAAGCAAAACATGAGACGTATTTTGGACTCAAAATCCGTACAAAATACGGCGAAATCGTAAGAGTAAACAGGTCTGTTAGTATGTACTTTAGTTGTCTTGTTACCTTGACGGATGGAGAGCTGTTGGATAATGTAATACATTTCTCTGGTGAAGCATTCTTCATCTGTATCTCCAGTTCAGACATAACAGAGTCTCTGTGTTCCTCCATAGTCAAAGCCATTGTCCCGCTTCTGTGATCTCTCAAATCAAAGCGTTACCTTATAAGGTTATTAAGCAAACAAATCCACATTTCCATCAACTGAAAAAAAGAAGTGATAACAGTTAAATGTGACTGCAGTCATACATTTACTAAACTACCTAAAAATAGATTGCTTGCAATAATAACAGTATAAAGCCTAAAATACAAAAATATAAAATAAAAAAATACATAATATGTAACTTTACAAAAGCAGTAGTTCGACAATATACAAGCAGACTAGCTCAACATTAAGATCATCAAAAACGATATATCAACAACACTGTTCAAAATTTTAACCGGACTTCTCTAGTCTTGACAAACTGAAAATTTACATAGTTAAATACTATGTTCACTGGGCACCTGAAATTAGTTATACCTACCTACAGTTCTAATAATAAGTGTGGATTGCCTAAATTGGCATTATTGACACTGGTCAGCTAGAGAACATGCTGTCAGGGCCTAGATTTACCTGTTCTGTCTCACCTGTCCAATTAGATTCACCCCAGGGTAGCAAACAGGTGCATAATCATGATGTAACTGTTTTGGCCCTTTAAATAAACTAGCTAAACAATGTGTCAGTACTGGTCACCTATATCTTTTAGATCAAAACACAAATGGATGTGGCTAGGACAAATGTAGACACATGTACCTTGGTACTTTAAATGACAATTATGTGTTATAATTACAGCATTCATTTTTCAGAGTAAAATCTTTAAAACAAACATCGGTAAATGTAAATGATATTTTTCACACACATTACCTGAATATTTGCATTTCAGTTGACACAAATTACTCATCATGGCTTAGGATAATAAAGTGGTTTTCATAAGAATTGTCACTGAGAATAATGTGTCCAAGATAAATCTGGGCCAATATCATAAAAACCAGCTTTTACTGCTCTTGCTCATAGAAAATAATTAGGTTTATTTCACCCTTGATAAGATATTAATATAAAGAGAGACCTTCTACGCACATACAACTCCATTTGATTTAGAGTTATATACCAAGTGTTACTGTTGGGCCTGTACTATGGAGTAAAAAAACCCAACAAATTATTACAAGAACAAGTGCCTGTGGTGCATCTTTAGGCGAACCATTTTTTTTCTACTCCATTTTGTCACGTCGATTTGTATCCTGTCGTTTTCCATATTACAGATGAATATTGAACATATGAGCTTCAAAATATCCACGCTATTAACACAATTAATCTGGGACCTCTATCAGCTGTTTTATACTGATATAAACCCCATTAGTACACCGTCCTTAATTAATCATTAATAACAGATCACTTTCAAAATTCACTAATCGTTTAAGCACGTTGAGTTCAGAGTAAACTAATACTTATGAAAAAAAGAAGCATTTTCACATTAATAAGCACTGTTACCTTAGAGATCAGGGGACCACCATGATCATACACTGTGATCTTTGCAATGAGCGAATGACTCACTCTTTGAAAACCGCGGGTAATTCTTTCTACAACCGGTTGTCGTAAAACTCGAACAGGCTCTTTTTTTTTTATTCAATAGCATAATTTCTAGAATAAATAAATGTAAATTAGATAAGTAAAAACACAACGATCACGTACAAACTATACATGTGAAGGAATTTTTAATCAGGTAGGCCTTATACAAAATTTGAGTCCAGGTGTTTTTTTACGACAATAAATCTTGGGGCTCTGCCCTGGGTCACTGTGGGTCAGTTGGGAGCTGGGTTGGGTATGACAGGAGAGTGTGAATATAGTCATGGTGAGGATTTTTACACGATTATTTTGCGCGAGACATCGGAACAGCCGTGGATCCAAATACTTATAACCTTTTGCCAATTTAAAAGTGTATTTTTATCCCTGTTAATAAAGGGGGCATATTCATGATATTGGTTTGCACCGTCGGTATGGCGGTGTACATATTTTGAGAACCCTTTCCTTGGTGCACTGGTACCTTCCTAGGTATTCCTTGTTGATTTTGAGTTCAAAATGTCAAAGCTCAAAGAACTCTGGTACCCCTTAAGGAATAGATGACCTTTATTAATATCAAGGTCAAATTTCAAGGACAAACTTCTCTTCGTAGAAAGACTAGTGTCTTAAGAACCCTCTCTACACTGCACACTAAAGAGTTCTGATTCTATGGTATTTTTCTGCAGTTAGAGTGATCTGCCCTTAGATCTCAATTCCAATAAATTGAAATTTATAGTACATTGCTCAATTTGTAATCAATACAAGTATTCTTAACATTTTAAAAAGCCAAGGTAAATTAATTGAACACGTTATTTACATGTATTTCTTCGTGGAAGTAAACAACTGTGATTTCTGTTCACTGATACTGTGTTGTGTTTGAACATTTTTCCCGGGGGTAAATGCCACGTACCATATACTAAAAATTAAATAGATAAGCTCAATATTTACACCTTTATTCAATATAATTTTCTTGATGTCCAAAAAACATTTTGCACTGGTGTAGAGAGGGTCCTTAAGAACCATTTGATTGAAAGACATCAAACTTTGCACACTGATACCACCTAAGAAATAGATGACCCTAAAGATAAAGGTCAAGGGCAACTTTTCTTCATGGGAATGTAGATCTATCTATCAGTCTTAAGAACCCTTTGAATGACAGACATCAAACTTGCTACACTGGCACTCTCTAAGAAATATTGATATCAAGTACTCAGAATAAAAGAAAACATTTTGATCCTATGGGGGCATATGTTTCTAAAAAAAAATCTTGATTACAGAGCTCCACAATTTAATCTGGCTATTTCAACACAAATGTGCATTTTGTTGGTGTTGAAAAAGACAAAATACAGTCAAACCTCATTATTTCAAATCCGATGGGAAATTATTTCTTGGCACAACTTCAAAATATCCAATGATATGAGATACTGAGGACTGTAATTTTTTCTAGTGATGTGAGCACAAACTGCATCAATTACTTAAGGGAATCGTGTAGCTTAACATCTGTATAACTATATATCAAAAAGCATGTGATGAAAAATCAAAAAGGAGACTTGTTTATTGAGTGTTCATACTCTGTGAACAAGGTCCTAGGTTAAGGTTTTTGGAGCAGTTTTCTTTTCAAGTACTTCTATGGCCTACATTAGTCAGAGATGCATGGAGGATGCTTCTAGTGTGTTTCATTGTACCAGTCAAGGTTTCAAATGCTGCAATTTCAGCTAAAGAATGACCAGGTTAATGTTTTTGGAGCAGGTTAAAGTTTTTGGAGCAGGTCTCATTTCCAAGTAACTATAAGCCCTATATTGACCAAACTTACATGGATTATACGTCCAAGGATGCACACTACTGAACTTGCTTCGGATGCTGGATCTGACCTACATTTTCCAGATGAGTGATTAGGTTAAAGTTTTTGGAGTAGATCTCATTTCCAAGTAACTATAAGCCCTGTATTGACTAAACTTGCATGGATGATACATCTAAGGATTCACACTACTGAACTTGCTTCGGATGCTGGATCTGACCTACATTTTCCAAATGAGTGATTAGGTTAAAGTTTTTGGAGTAGATCTCATTTCCAAGTAACTATAAGCCCTGTATTGACTAAATTTGCATGGATGATACATCTAAGGATGCACACAACTGAACTTGCTTCGGATGCTGGATCTGACCTACATTTTCCAGATGAGTGATTAGGTTTAAGTTTTTGGAGTAGATCTCATTTCCAAGTAACTATAAGCCCTGTATTGACTAAACTTGCATGGATGATACATCTAAGGATGCACACTACTGGACTTGCTTCGGTTGCAGATCTGACCTACATTTTCTGGATGAGTAACCAGGTTAAATTTTTTGGAGCAGATCTCATTTCCAAGTAACTATAAGGCCTATCTGAACCAAACTTGCATGGATGATGCATCAAGGGATGAACAATCTCAAACTTGCTTCGGATGCTGGATTTGACTTACATTTTCTGGATGAGTGACTAGTTTTAAGTTTTCAGATAAGTCTATTCCCAAGTAACTGCAAGTCCTATCAGACCAAAATTGCGTAAATGTTGCATCTAGGGATGCACACTCCTAGATTATTAGTTTAGTGTGGTACTTTGCTTTACTTAAAGACAACATTCGTTGAGGTGAGCTCTGTAATCTCTGATTACCTATGTTTTTAAAAATATGATTGCTTTCAAACAAAAAAAAAATCAACTCCTTGTAAATTTATAATCATTGACATGCTGATCATGTATAGAAACAAATAGGTAAGCATGAATATTGTTTCAGTTTGAAATAGAAAATATATTTGAAACAGAAAATATATTTGACTGGCTTTGTCTGTCTGATGTGCACGAGATACAGTGTCTTTTGTATGATAAAGACATGCCGCTGAGACCCAATCTAATTAAAATTAGACTTGTATTTTCGCTCTTCTACGATACGCTTCGATACAAGCGTATCGTAGAGGAGCGAAAATACAAGTCTAATTTTAATTAGATTGGCTGAGACCCAATCTAAATTTTTTATGATTGTAAGAAAGATCACTCAATTTTGTGAAAATGGATTTTTAAAATATCAGTGTGAGGATTTATTGCCCTTTCTAAGCACATGTAATATTTAGATGTCTGATGTGATTATTTACTTATGCATGACTCTTTGTTAATAAAGACTCATTTTATATAAACCTTTACAGGACTTTGTAACCCTTGCAACCAGGTCCGGTAAAAGGACCCTGTCCCATTGATTGAATATTTGCTCTTTTCCCCAAAAAATTTAGGTAAATTTCCCAAATTACAGAAAGAATGAATTTTTCAGCGCTTTTTATATTAAAAAAATTTGAGTTTTGAGGTCTTAAGGATTTATAAAGATATGAATCGGGAATATTTAAGTCTTCAATATAAGTCTTTATTCAGGAGTAAAACTTAGCATATATGTAAGACATCAGCATATCAAAATTTGTGGCTTAACTTGGGAATTAAGTTTTAACACAGACATCATGCTAATGACATTGTGGTGACATTTTAAAAAAGAATGAAATTTTTGATTAATAATATCAAAATTATTGGAATTGATCAAGGAGATCCTGTTTATGGCACACTTCCATTTTGATCACATGCTTTAATTTATACATATAAAAAAATAAGTACAGTCTGTATTGTTTAATAATGTCATTCAACTACTTCAGAAAAAATGTCCTTTCAAGGGGAGACTACTCCAAAGATAAATAATCCTGTCAAGGAATACATAATGAATTTGATGACACTTATTAAGATTACATCACTGCATTCTTTTGTGCGTAGGAAAGTAACACCATTTTCATGATTTTAGTAAATGTTTGAATAGATTAATTTCTGCCTGGATCTTGTGGTTATTTATATGCATGCTCTTCACCCTCAGAAAATGGACTATATAATCTCTCCCATTATAAATATAAAGAAGGCTCTTCAGATCAGTGGTTAGGCAGGCAAGGCTGTACAAACATGCATTGTTGAAATAATCTTTGATCACTCAAAAACATGCAGTGCCATTATATTTAATGTGCTTCATATCTGATTGATTAATTGCATAAAATCCTATAATACCCTCAACCATTCTCTTTTTCAACATTCAGCAAAAATCAATCAACCACTTAAAATTGTCTACCATCTAATTACGACAAATAAAATGGATGATGTAATTTGAGTATAGTTTTGTTAATGTCATTTCTGAATTACAGGTTAGGCGATAATTTTCATACTGCAATTCAGGTGGTTCTATAAAGTGGTGGGTATCTGTTTTCAGGATAAGAATTGTACATCTGGGCTGATGATAGATTATCAAGAATATTAATTTTCTTGTGTTTTGTAAACTTTGTTCAGGTATTTTGTTCAAATTCCATTTATGATACTCAAGATTGCTTAACTGAATTGCTCAAATCTGAACATTGCATATAATTTAGTGCCATGTAGCTATTTTTTTAACACAGTGTTAGGATGATTTTCAAATTCAATTCAATTTATTGCTCAAGCCATACAATCTTATTACATATAGTCACATACAGTACCTTGTGCAAAGGGTTCAATTAAGGTCGGAAGACATGTTCCTCAAAAATATATAATTTTTCCCAAGAATTTGTCACTGAAGTATTGCCACTTGAACAAGTTTACTCACAAAAAACAGAGGTATCTTACCAGGCATTTCCGCAAGATACCAGAGGGTGATATTTCTTTTATAATCCTTACGGGTAAATTCTTTTGAATTGCCAATATGTCACAATTTTTGTTTGGTGTACTTATTTTTAAAACATATTAAAAACAATTTAGAAATCACAAGAGAATAACAAATATGAATAATTTTTGTTATAATACCAAGAGATACCAAACATATACTTGAGGAACGACTGTCCTCAGACCTTAATATAGTGAATCTGGTGAAAACTTCACATGACATATATGTCAATTAAGACGTATGAAACAGGTTACATTATACAGAGTAGGAGTCTTCAATCTATTGTATGTATGTCTGTCATTTTCCAGAAAAAATTAAAGTTGACATACTTCACTTGAATCTGCAAATTCATTAGGTTAAATTTTCAAGTCATACTTGCCAGTAAAGCCATTTCTTTTTTGATTGGTAGATTGCATTCTCTCTAGAGCTCATTAGAACTCATATAGGTTAATTAGCCAAAGCCAAAACCAGTGCAGTTTAAAAGTATATAGTACAGACTCAAAAATGTACTATAGACGTAAATTTTTTCACACAGTACTAATTTAGGCTATGTAACAGTACACTGTCACAAATTTTTCACAGAAATTTGTAACAGTGTATTTGATTAAGCGCATGGCAAACATTGGCGGTCCAAAATATCCTGCAGATTGAACAGAAATTATGATTACACAGAATTATGACCCAGTTCATAAAAGTATAAGTACTGTGTATGTTAATTTTTCTAGTGGTGTACAGTTCTCCACAAGTTGTCAGACTCTGACTTAAATCAGCAAAAATTTGATGGCCAGTACCAGTACATTCATAACTTCATATTGCCATGGTCACTACTGCATGTTCAATATATTTCAAAATTTTTCTAAAGTGAGAATTTTATTTATGAATTTTTAAATTATCTTCTTTACAGGTCTCTCATAAGTCACTCTACCGAAACAATGATTGCCCTCTCCAGATCTGCATGCAGACATTTGTCATCATCAAAGTTAAAAGGTCACATTTGGAAGAGGTCAAGGTTAAAAAACTCAGCATGACAGGAAGTGTTCAGCATAGAAAATTATTTATCCAAGAAAGGACATACACATGTGCAGGTAAGGTAGGAAAGACTGAGCAACTTTTCATAAGGTAATGAAATGATATGACACCTGCTATATTGACTTGATTTATCAATATATATAGTACGTGGCATTGAACATGTTCGTTATATAATTTTAATTTTTTCTGATTAAGAGGAGATATCTATGCAGAAATCTTCATATACTTGCTGGTAGTTGCAATTTCATTATTTGTTTAATATTTCATTATATTTTGAACAGCTTTGTTAAGTTTTAATTTTGTATCTGTTTTAGTGGCTTTAAAACCTAAGATATTTTATGTAAATTAAAATGAAATTTAAATGCACATTATCACGACAATATTAGATTTCCAAAGTACCACTGTTCAGTGTTTAGCCTTAGTAAAATGCCTAGACACAGTAGAGTAGTCTCATGTATAATTCATGCTGCCAGTGCAGCAGGAAAACGGCAGTAGCAAGCTCTAGCATGCTTAGAAAATGGGCTTAAACATTATAACTGTACTACTCAGTTCTCCTACAAAAATCAATACCCATGTAAGATATGATTCAGAATTCCCCCCTCAGTCTCCGCGACCTATTCTATAGCTGAGGTCCATGTCATAAGGAATCTGCTAGAGTTCAGGGCGGAATTGCACTTCCATTGGAAGGTGTGGCATTCGGATGAGCTTAAGGATTTTCATGGTAACTGGTAGGTATACATGCATTGTGATTGATGATGGTAGATTCTCTTTAATATCCCCTTTTTGTCTTTGTATGAAATAGTCTAGAGTGAGGAGAGAAAATCAATAGTACATCATGCCATTAGGAAATGCCACATTTATAATGATTCATGATGGTTCCCATATTAATATCTATATGGAATGGTAATGACTCAAATTACATTTTATCGAGAAGGCTATTTTGTGGATCATTGCTTGAAATGAACTTTGTAAACTGTCTGGAAACCAATTGGGCTCAATTTTTTTTTCATTCTCATTTACATTGAAAATTATTTTAAGGATAGGGGACAGGCTTTTTTGAGGGGTATATACAGGGCTTAATATCCACTGCATGCAGGTCCAGTAAAAGAACCCTATCCTAGTTGAAAATTGACTCCTCTTTCCCCCAAAATTAATTATATAACTAAAGGTAACAATTCCAAAATGACAAGCAGATTGAATTTTTCATTGTTTTTCTTGATATTTTGAGATTATATAAAGATGTGAATAGAGGATATACATACAATCTAACTGTCTCAGTTTCTGTATTCTACAGTTACTGTAAAACATCAATATATATATGCCATCAGGATTTAAAAATTTTGCCACTAAATTCTTTCAGTTTGAAATTCCCAACTGAAAGGGTACAGGACCCTGCAGGTACCAAGAAGGGTCAATTAAGCCAGGTGATACATCATATAAAAGTTGCAAAGCTGTGATTTTAAAACCCACTAAATACACTCATGTAGCAGAATTTCGTGTGATATAAGTTTTAAGTAAGCTGATGCAATATTGCATTGATTTGCAAATGACAAGCAGTGCAAATGATTTTTTTTTTCAATGTGAAGAATGGGTAATGTGCCGTGTTTTTTTTTTCCAATGCATATTTTATTATTCTATATTTTTATATACTTTGAACATTTTTGATAAAAATTCAATTCTTCGGAAAAAACAAATTAACATTATAGGGTTAATGTTTTACCCTATCGGTTTTAAGATCCGTGCTGAGTGGTCATGTAAGATGATGTGGGTGGTGTCCAAACATAAGTCTATAAAAAGACACCACTTTATTTTAGTATTACCTCCAAGCCTTTTCTTAATGTCACATATGTACAAATGGTGGCTGAGAGGAAGATCGGAAGTCAACCTCAATAAAAATAGTGTAAATGGAGATTTTATCCTCATAAATTTGTATATTTTGGAAAATATTTATAAAAATCTGCCATTTATCAGTCATCAAGAAGATCTGATTTTTCTCTGTCCTAACCTTTGATATCGGTGGCAAATCTAAGTTTATTGACATGTTTTTTTTTCACATGCTTCAGCAATTGTCATATGTATACATGTATGTTGTTGGAGGCATGAATAATAATGATGAGACAGATGGGAAATATAATCACTTTTTCCTACTAGCTATGGCAGGCGGAGGGAGGTTATCAATAAAACATGCACAACATGGATTTCCTTAAGAAGTTTTTGACGATAATGCATCTCATTATGAGGTGACATTGAGATAAAGAGCATATTTAGCTAACCTCCACAAAGTCGAGGTGAGTTTATGCTATACCCCTGGTGTAGGGGTGAGCATCTGCATCCTGGTTAAAATTTTAGGATCAGGTCCATTCCCAAGTAACTAAAAGCCCTAACTGGACTAAACTTGCATGGATGTTGCATCCAGGGAAACACACTAATAGCTTGCTTTGGATGCTGGATCTGATCCTATATTTTCTAGATGTGTGACATTGAGGTTAAAGTTTTAGGAGCAAGTCCCTTTCCAAGTGAATATAAGCCCTACATGGACTAAACTTGCATGAATATTGCATCTAGGGATGCACACTATCAGACATGCTTTGGATGTTAGATCTGATCCGAAGGATTCTTGATGTGTCAAGCATTTTCCAGATGAGTGACCAGATTTAAATTTAAGGAGTAGGTCCATTTTCAAGGTAAATGTAAATGTAAGTCCTATGATAAACAGACTGCAAGGATGATGCATCTAGGATGCTCATTACCAGACGTGTTACAGATGCTGCATCTGACTTGCACTTTCCGGATGACTGAACAGGTTAAAGTTTCACTGGAGCAAGTCCATTCTCAAGTGACTTTAAGTCTACCCATAGTCCCAGACTAAACTTTCTTCTTAGTGAGGATGAATTACATTACCAGAACACTCCTTTGCCTTACATCTAAATAATACATGTATTTGTCAAGGTGAGCTTTGTAATCTATGATAACCTATGTTTATGATCCAAGTAAATCATTGAAATGGACATAACAATATAACATATTGCTCAGCTTTTTTAAGAGGTATAGAAACCAGTTTCTCAAGTTAAACCAATTAAGGGTCCTTCATCAAAACTAACATAAAATAGCAATGACCTTGAATCAGAGAGAAGGCAAGCAGAGAGAGGAGACCCAAAATAATATCCCCGTCTTGCATTGTACCCAAGAGCATGGTTTTATTGTCTTTCAAGTTTTGTTAAATTTACTTAAATTTTGTAATTTCTCTTTAAGACAAAAAATGTGAGAAAATGAATAGGGGCCATTGATTACCCCCACACACCAGAAACTATGGAAAGTGGGTGTTTTGTTTTAATCATTGAATATTGGGTCTTATACTATGAAGACTTGCCCTATAGTAGATTGTATGTAAGAGGATTCCTGTATCTACAGAATTCAAATAACATGTAACTAGAGATCAAATTCCTGAGAAACTAACAGATAGAATATACACTTGTATGGTCTATAGATAATAGTTGAAAACTTTGAACACTAGCAGATTAAGGACTGTATAGGTCTAATTTTCCCTGTCTTTGAGACTATTGATTAGAATATCTATCCCATTCAGGTTTTCAGTGCTCAATGGAAATCCACATGGCATGATTTTTTTCTTTGAGGTTGTGTGTTTCAGTTGATTTCTGATGCATTTATTTTCCAATCAACTGTATTCAGAATGATGCCAATCAATTTTTCTCTGTGACAGTAACAATCCTTACACAAATAATATAATTAACATTTTATTGGCATTCATTATCAGGGTCTGAAAAGTCCTCTGTGATTGAAAACCTTTTTGGTTTTTCTGCAGACTCTGGTCATACTTGGATTTGATGACAATAAGGATTGTAACCTTAACCTGTGGCATATTGTAAAGGCCTGGTCACAGATAAAACACTCCTTAGGGCTTTATTGTGAGAAATATTGCCCTTATTTGGTTCTGGGCACCCTGGAGAGATTGATTCTGCAAAAGGTTGAGGCATTGATTTTTTCCTTGCACTAACTGAGACTGTGTTTTCATTGATTCCAAGAGGCTGGAAGATTACTCAGTCTGCTTGCTGCAATGTCATGTAATTGGCATTCTATTGGGATAAAAAAAATTACAGGATTCATCAAACATTTCAACATAGGAATCTAATTTGAAGACACTCTTATAAATACGGAGGTGCTCATATCTGGAATTTCACTATGTTTGACTTCAGTATGTTTACAAGGTGCGTATTGTAACTGATTTTAAGTTTCTGGTACATATACATGTAGCTAATTGTCATTTAATGTGAAAATTTTTGATGTGTTATTGCTGATAGGAAAAGATGATTATTTAGAGTGTTGTTATAGAAAAGCTTCATCCACAATCTGTTTACTGTGTGTTAAGTGTATCAGGCAGGTTAAATCAGATCCAACAGCTGTTGTCTTATTCAGCACCTCGTTGTATGTACCGGCCTATACACATGTCAATGCATGGAAATGGTATATAGATGTAAATTTATAATATATGTGAATTAAGGAAAAGTTTTCTAGTTGTCAATATTTGTGTCTAAGATACAATTTGTACTTGAGACAATGTCTAAACAAGTGGTAGACTGTTTGCTAGGAAGATTGCTGGTTGCATGGTGTCTCTTGAGAAGCTGAACTTGTACCAATATGTTATGATCTCTACCAACAAGGACATGTAATAGCTGTATAATATTACTTATTAGGTTGTGATTCAGACTGTCTACAGAAATATATCAGGTTGATCAATCTCATAGACAGTGAGGCAGAGCTGAGAATCTCAAGGATCAAAGTGTGAGAGACATAAACATAAGACAGGCGCATAGCAACTTATCAAAAGGTGTGGGTATGGTGGGGGCAGCTACCGAAAGAAAAAAAAACCTGTTTAAACCTTTGGAGGGGTTGGAACCTTTCTCTAAATTGTTGAGGAATTTTCTAAGGCAATCACATTGCACCCTACCAACTGCAACAAAAAGGGTGTTGGGGGGGGGGGGGCACAGCGATTGAAGCAAAACCCTTTGGGTTTTATGGGATTTGATCACATGACCAACTGGTATTTACATCAAGATAAAAGCTTAATAATGATCGATACGTTATTTCTTAAATATATGAAGTATGAAAATGAAAGAAAACTTATTCCTGTCCCTGTGTTAACAAGATTTCCTGTAATTAATTTGGAGATGAGGTTCCATTATACTTACCATACTAGAATGAATGATGTGCATTTAGATTTTGACAGGAGTGATATATTCTGTTGATTTTTTTTTTTATAATGGACACAATATTAAGTCTAGACATGTATGAAAGAAAATTAGTTTTAAACTGACTTTTAAAGTACCTCATTAAAAAGATAACCTGTAATAAATGGATATGTTTTGGATAAAAAAAATATGAATTAAATTCCACTTAAAGTGAAAACACCATCTAACTTAAACTGTGATATATGGCTTTCTTCCTGGTGTGTACAAAAAGTGATGAATATTTTCCATCTTACTGGGTATATAATCAGAAAATCTTTTACCTGTTAACCCAGTTTACCCTGTACCTAATACAAGATTAATGTCCAGATTTGGAACCAATTATAGTCGAGTACTGTGTAAAGCCATATATTCAGCATCAATTACAATTTCATGGGGATATTGGTATCAATATGTTTAATGTTTGGTCGAAAGATTATTACTTTCTCTACGTGACTTATGAGTGATCGTGCCTGATATGAATT